CCCCAAAACCCCAAAACCCCAAAACCCCAGGCTGTACAATCATTTCAAAATGTAATTAATCGACCAAGTTAATAATTTAAATTACTGATTAATCTCTTATAAATATAAATCTCTGAAAAATACAGTCTGAGAGCAGACAGATATATATTCTTATTTGCCAATAGCAAATTTTTTAAATAATCAACTGTTTTTCTTTCTTTAAGCTTTCCCATCGCTTTCACTACTTTCATGATATCCCTCTTCATCAGATAGTTCTCCTTACTTTTAATTATCATTCTCATCATTGTGAATGAATATGGATTTGGATTTATTTTTATTTAGAGGTTAAATTTCACAATATTCCAACACCTACTTATTAAATTGCTAAATGTGATATTTGTCCTCTTAGAAATATGCCTTAGTTGGCGGCATTCGATTCTGTCCACAATCCTTGTTGTATATTTTATCGTTTAAATCTACTGCGCTATCCTTCTCATTCTTATTTAAGGTATCTTCCTCATTTTAATCTTCTTCATCACTAGAGTTCAAGTCATTAGAATTATCTTTAGTTTTCATGTTATTCACCTTTTTATGTTCAACCATCAAGTCTCGGTGATATTTCTCATCCTAAATCATTCTCTTTGTCATTTGTAAATCAACTGTTCCACTACTTTCCTCTTAATTCAATTTTCTAGAGCCACTCATTGATTTAAATCTCATTTCTGGATTGAATTAATCTTTGACAGAGTATTTTGAAACATCATCCCATTTTTTTAAATTATTCTACTAGTCATCGCAAAAAGAGTTAAAAATATTGGAAAGGGACTCATCATGATAGACAGATTTTGATTGCGGGTCATATGTGTGGTACTTATTTTCTGAGAATACCTCCTGTATAGGAGTAGCCTTAAATTTTTAATCTATTGCCACATTAGGTATCAATTTTTTTGGGTTCTTATACAGGAATTTTCTTGAAGTATTCTAAACTATTATGTCATGGCCTATATCACTGATTGGAGCAAGAAGAGGTTCTCTCTTACTTTTCATATCAGCAATATTATTTAACGCTAGACTAATGTCTACTTTTTATCTAAAACAGCACATTTTTTTGTGATAAACAATCAACAACATAAGGATTATTGAAGTTAGAAATGTAATTCCAAGTATTACCCAAATCCAAATGGGAAACAAGTACTTCTCTTAAGTACAAGAATTGTTGAAGCAAAAATCAGATAAGCATTCTCTGTCTTCATCACAACTATCTCCTGCTGCTTTATTTCCAGCGCATACAATATCTTGGGTACAATATTATTCAGAACAACATCCAGTCATTTTGCAATCAGCATTTGTCAGGCATTTATCATAGCATCTAAGGAAATGTGAGCATTTATTGTCGTTGCAGCATCTACTAAGGCACTCAAAATTGTAATCACAGTTATCATTATGCAGCTTTTATCCATGCAAGCACACTGAAGGATGAACACAAGAATAAGTGCTGCAGCAAAACGAAGCTTGGATACAATCATAATTGTTACCGCAAAATGCCATTTAAGCGTTATTCCCTCCTGCAACGATAGATTTGGATGCTATGTACATAAAATCATCACTTGACTATAGTTTCTAGGGACTATTTTATATACCATTGCAAGATATTCCATAATCTAATAGTAAAATTGATACTACCAAAAGATTCCATCTTATTAAAAACATTATGTTATTAAAATTGATGAATTTTTACTTTTCTGATTTTTAAGATTAAAATAATTTTTGTATTTATATGATTTTAATGAAACGGGGTTTTGGGGTTTTGGGG